ACAATGTATTTTTGGCTATTGCTACAAATATACCCCAGCGACTTAAGACTGGCTTTGTGGTCCAGGGTCACATATGTCTACTGTTGCTGTTTTCATAAGACAGTCGTCAAGAATCTGAACCATTGACCTTTCTGTTTCTGTCTTCAGTCTGTGTAAATGCAGTATTACAGAGAAGCAGTGTGTCTTCCTGACTTCAGCTCTGAAATCAAACCCATCACACCTGAGGGAACTGGACCTCAGTGGAAATGTACTTAAACACACAAGAGTGAATAAATTGTATGATATACTGAAGGATTCACGATTTAAACTGGAAAGATTGAGGTGAGGAACATTCACGTACAACAAAGAAATTAGTGTTTTGGTATTTTAAGGAAACAAAATGAAAAGGTTATCTCATTTCTCTGAATGCAGGTTAAGGTACTGTGCTATAAAAGCTGAAGATTGTTCAGCTCTGACTTCAGCTCTGAAATCAATGTCATCACACCTGAGAGAGCTGGCCTTGAGTGGGAATGAAATAGGCCAGTTGGGAGCAACAAACCTCAGTGATCTACTGATGAACCCACAATGCAAGCTGGAAAAACTAGAGTTAGTAACATTGTACTGTACAGCAGTTACAGTGTGATTAAAGTTTATTATGCTATTAGCTGATGGACTGATGATTCAGTATGTGTGTCAGTAGAAAAATAAAAACAAACTCCTCCAAAAACTCCAGGATTTGACATTTTTGGCTGTAAAATTTTCATATGTTGAAGTTTGAAAAATCGTATCTGCAAAAAAAAGAAAAAAGAAGAATAGACAAAAAACTGACGTAGCATGAATGACAGTAAATTATTTTGACAGTTACATGGCTTTTACAGGACTAATAGTACTTTTCACTAAATCAGTTTTTATTAAGCAAAATTTGTATGGTTTCTTGGTTTATGGTCATCTAATTAGGTTCTCAGGTTTTTGGTGGTGTATTAGTGACAGTATGGTGTTTATTCATGATGCATTTAACTCACATGTGAACTTAACATGGTCTTTTCTCTTGTCTTCAGTTTGTGTAGATGCAGTATTACAGAGAAACAGTGTCTCATCCTGACTTCAGCTCTGAAATCAAACCCAATACACCTGAGAGAGCTGAACATCAGTGTGAATCAACTAGGAGACTCTGGAGTTGAAAACCTTGGTGTTCTGTTGGGCAGTTCACAATGCAAACTGGAAAAACTACAGTTAGTATCATTACACTGTACAAAAACTTGCATGACAATAGATTATTCTATTGTTAAATGGCTTCCGTAGCACTGATGGTGCTTTTCGTGAAATCTAAGAGGTAGTGAAATGCATGTTTCTGGAGGTTTGCTTATGAAACACAGACTACTGTGGTTTATAATAGCAACAGTAACAAACTACACTGGCATGCAGTAAATTTCGCTTTCTTCACTTAACCCGCTTAATCCCAAATTTTTTCCAGACATGAAAATATCCAGATGATGGTTAGTATTAGTAACCCTTTGAAATAATGAATACTTATTTTTGAAATTTTAAACAGCTATTTTAAACTGTTTGATCACATTCTAAGGTTACAATTATGCATAAAAACACTTATACAACACTGATAGGAATACTGAGATAAACGTCAAAAAAATACAACCATCAACATACTTCAAAATTGTTACTTTATTGTATCATACAGTATATCATAAAATTGTTATGTTAGTGCTACTAATATTACAACATCAATATTGTAACTTATTTGTAACATTTGAACTTTTAATTTAGTGCAATATTTTGTCATTGCAACATTTTAGTGCAGCCTTCCCTGACAACTGCAATTGGATTTATATATGTACTTAAGTTATTATATAAATTATCCCACAGGTCACAATTTTGACCATCAGCATGTTTACTGATTGTATGACAACACTCATCAAAATTTAATAATTGTGAATTCATATATTAAACCAGACACCTTACAGATAATTTGGATCGATGGGCAAGGCCAAAACAGAGGGGCGTTTTCGACCATGTTACCTGATTGGCTGATGCCATAGTGATGGGTAGATTTAGGGGTGGGGTAAGGGGGATCATTTTCATTGCATGATTTAGAAACACCCAGCAGTTTGAAAACACCCACAAAGTCAGAAATGCCCACTTTTGCTCTGCAGAGACCTAAATCTCGATTCACTGTATGACAACGATCATGTGTGTTTCGGGTTTATTCTAACATCCTCAATTCCAATAATGCTCTTTTACTGTAGTCACAATGTTATATAGAGTCATGTTTATCATAAAACACTGATAAAAGCATATTTACCCCCACTTTGGAATTTAAAGAGTATATGTTTATGTTGAACTTTATTCTTGAACAGATGGCGCTGTATTAAGCAGTATATAAAAAGTGTTTCTGTTGCTCATGAAAACGTTTCTGAAACGTCTGTGTATTTGTCAAATATTGCATTTAATTCACTTAATCTGTGATAGGATATGCAAACACTGTGTGAGTGTCACACCCGGGAGCAGAAAGTGTCTGACTTGACGTGTCCATTTTCAACTCCGCCCCCGACTGCTCTTGGCTAATCTTGTTGACCGCCATCTATAGCCTGTAGTTGAACACACTTATCATCTTCTCATGGTGCAAACAGGAAATAAACTGCTCTGGTCATGTGATAATTTGCACTAACCATGTGAAAATGCACATATTTAATTGAGACCCTTTATTTTTTCCATATTTGCAGGAATAATTCACACTGTAAACTAGAGAGATTGAGGTCAGTGACACTCACATACAAAAAAGAAAATGCTTAAAATCATTTCAACATTGCAATTTAACAAACACTTTTACTCAATATCTCATAATGAGTCTGGGTTCACATTATAAGGGCGCTACGGAGGCCACATCCTACCCGAAAGGAGGTGACATGTAGAGACACTAATATGGACTGACCCAGGCCTGGGGCAGTACTACATATGGAATAAGCCTCTGAGGCAGGTCCTACCTAGGAGTAGGGAGGAGCGGCTGCCAGCAGAGCCTGACAGAGGGATCTGTCAAAGGGAAGACACGGTTTTACCGAGAGGGCAACCTTACCGTGGAAGAATACACATATGGGATTGCCCGATGGGAATCAAGCCTTATGGACACCTAGCCCAGTACAGGGGCTGACCGGAGACCCGGGCAAGCTAACACCGGTACTGGGCCTGGCGTCAGACTGCTCTGCCCAGTCTGACTGACAGGGGTGCTGGAGGAACTCCACCAGGGTTCGCCGTCCGGGGAACTTTACTGGAGGAGGAAAAAGGCGCTCGCATCCCTGGTTGAGGGGGAATGGCACAGCATGCGTGACACGGCCAGCTCTTCCCGCCACTTACCTGTTACCCAACACACGGGAAGAAACTGGCTCAATGCGGAGCCTGTGAATCTCGTGAAGATGTTTGGTGTCGCCCAGCCCGCATCTCTACAGATGTCTGCCAGAGAGGTGCCATGCACCAACGCCTAGGAGGAGGCAACACTCCGTGTGCAGTGAGCCCTCACACCCAGGGGGCACAGCTCGCCTTGGGATTGGTACATCAAGCCAATGGCATCCACTATCCAGTGGGCCCACCTCTGCTTGGAGACATCCTTCCCTTTCTGCTGACCTCCGTAGCAGACAAAGAGCTGCTCAGAGCTTCTGAAGCTCCAGGTGCGGTCCACATATATGCGCAACGCTCTTACAGGACACAGCAACGCCAAGGCTGGATCTGCGTCCTCTGAGGGTACTTACAGGTTCACCACCTGACCATGAAAAGCTGTGGTGGGAACCTTGGGCACGTATCCAGGCCAGGGTCTCAGGACAACGTGAGAGTAGGCCGGCTCAAACACAAGGCACTCTTCGCTCACCGAAAATGCTTGGAGGTCCCCGACCCTCTTGATGGATGAGAGTGCGGTCAGGAGCGCTGTCTTCTAGTAGACAGGAGCACTGTCTTCTAGCAGACAGGAATTTAAGCTCGATTAAATCCAGCAGTTCAAAGGAACCCCTCTGCAGTCCAGCCAGGACAATAGAGAGATCCCAGGAGGGCACCAGGGGTGGCCTAGGAGGATGTAACCTCCAGGCACCCCTCAGGAACCTCATGACGAGATTGTGCTTTCCCAGGGACTGGCCGTCCACTGCATTGTGATGTGCTGCGATAGCAGCCACATACACTTTCAAGGTGGAGGCTGACAGCCAGGGCTTAATTTGTGCCGGAACAAGCCAGATCTGGATTCGGCACCTCCGAAATCCGATCCGGCACCTCATTTTGGCGGATCCCCCTCCTCACGCGCCATTGAAAGACGTTCGTGCTGACCTATAGCGTGCATATGATATATATTTCATGAAAAATCTTCTATTATGAGCGCGCTAGCTGTACATTTGAGATAACGAACTTGAGTGCGCAAAAGACGCGACATGTGAACGGCCCCTTAGGCTGCTTTCACAAGACCGAATGCACGGATACACATGCGTTTTCGTTCTCAACTGTTTACATTTAAGACAAAACCAACTGCTTACGAGGATACTCACCAGTACGGCCATTTTTACGTCATTTTGTGTGTATTTGGCTGCTTAAGCTCAACAAACTTTGCGAAATAACTCAATATGACACTCGTGAGGTGGCTTTACGCGTGCACTTTGGACATGCCTGTGAGCACACAGAATACAGCCTCTGGAGCGCGCGAGTACCGATTGGCTTAAAAATACTTTAAAAAGATGTGCAAATGATACATTTTTGTGACAATGCAACAATGACCTGATTAGGCAATTGACAGTTCTGTCAATTGTCCCGAAATGTGAGCGAAAGTCTTGGATGAGACGGTGAGGGAGTGAAAGAGACAAGACATGGTACAGCTTAATCACTCATGCGGTTTTCAAATGACTGATTTTATCTAATAATTGTGACGAGAGGGGCGGGGCCGAGAGCCGTGGGAACGGAGCGACGCCGGTGGAGTAATTGATAATGAGCGACACCTGCACCACTCACCGGTCTCGAGTCTCACGGAGGAGCTCCGGAAGGATAAAAAGGAGGAGTGACGACAGTGAAAGACGAGAGAGGACCAGGCCTGGAGTTTATTTTGTGTTTTGGTTTTGTTTGTGCGCGACAGTCGTCCGCGAGGGGCTGTCGCGCTGTTTTGTGTTTATTTTATTATTAAAGTTTTATTTAAATGTTCGCCGGTTCCCACCTCCTTCTTCCCGAACTACGAACTGTGTTACATTGGTGCCGAAACCCGGGAGGAAGGAGGGGCACGCTGCCAGAGATCCCTCGCCGCTGTGGTGAGTCCGCGGTGCCATCGAGCATGGCGGAGCAGTCTGCCGCCATGGAGGCTCGAGGCGGTGGGCTGGAGTGAGTTACCGGGGGGGGGGACGAACTCGCTGCCGGCCGCCTGGGCTGTGGAGGGACGGCTGCCGTCCGTGAGGGAGCGGAGGAGTCGCCGCCGTTCGCCTGAGGCCGGAGCCTGCTGCCATCCACCATGATGGGGAGGAGCAGGGAACGGGGGACTCCTGCCGGCTGCCCGAAC